TTCTGATGTTATTGGATTCAACATACGGATGTATGTATAAAGCTTATTAACTTTTGGACATTTCTTCACAATATGGTTTATTTGCTGTGAACTCGTATACATTGAATTATTAAGAATTCAATATATTTTGGTAACATATGTGAATTATGTGGTTTGAATATGTGAATTCATATATGTTCTTGGCTGGGAACCGTGTCTGTCGAGACATGCTGGAAAGCAGTTCTGTTGATAATTTAAATGGATTGGGCATATATATAAGTCAGTTTATATGGATAAAGATTGATTGGTTCATTTAAAGTTTTATTGCCAATATTAAGTTAATTATTCGGCAATTCAAGATTAATTTAAATGGATTGATTGAAACAAAATGTTGCCAAAGCGACCTTGTGTAGATTGATTCATTTAAGTACTAAAGTTTATTGTATTTTTGTAATTCATGCGTGTGTTCATTAACCCAAAGGTGAACTGACACATGACCGAATTGCAAACATACATGCGATAATAAATCTGTGACAATTATAAGGTTTTCATGTGGACAATAATTGTATCCAAAGATAGTCTTATTGTTTGACAGAATTTATTGTCACGATTTGAGTATTACAACAAGAGTACCGCTTACAGTTAATATTACTATCCAAAGATTATATTAATGTTGTGCTTGGTATCTTGCTATGGGTTTAAACCATGTTTGTTTTAAATGATAAACTATGGATAATAATGTGAGTTTTTGTGGTTATTATTTTCTTCAAGTAATTCATCTAAGGTATCTACTAAATATCATGTCCCCATTTTTATATGGGGATAACTTTCAAAACTGGAAAGAATCAATTTTGATTCATTTGAGCTGTATGGATCTAGACTTGGCATTAAGGATAGACCAACCTGCTTCTTTTACGGAGAACAACACTACTGAGGAAAAACTGTGCTTTGAGAAGTGGGAAAGGTCTAATCGCCTTAGTCTTATGATCATAAAGAAAAGCATTCCGGAAATTTTTCGAGGAACTATATCGGATGATATCACTTTGGCTAAAGAGTTCCTTGTCGAGATTGAAAAGCACTTTAACAAAAGCGATAAGGCGGAAATGAGTACTTTTTTAAAGAATCTCATTACCATGAGGTATCTCGGCAAAGGTAACATAAGGTAGTACATCCTCAAGATGTCCAATATTGTTTCTAAGTTGAGAGCACTAAAATTAGACCTTTCGGAGGACATGATTGTCCTATAGGTCCTACTCTCTCTTCCTACTCAATACGATCAATTTAATGTCAGTTATAACTGCCAAAAAGGAGAAGTAGACTCTTAATGAGCTCATTTCTCATTATGTTGAGGAAGAAGAAAGAATGAAGCATAATAGGGTTGAGGAGGTACATATGATTGGTACCTCAAAAGATGTTAGTGGCTTTAAGAGAAAGTATAAGACCGTTATGGTTGAGACTGCTAAGGGTCCAGCTCCAAAGGTTAAACCGGCGAAGATTTCGTGCTTCTTTTGCAATAAATCTGGACATCTAAGGAAAGATTGTGCTAAGTATTCCGCATGGCGCGTGAAGAAAGGTGCATTTAATTTGGTTTGTTTTGAAGTTAATTTAGCTTCAGTAGCTCGAAATACTTGATGGTTAGAATCCGGTTCAACTACTAACATCAGTGTTTCGGTGCAGGGTTACCTAAGCCACCAAGAACCCACTAATGCTGAAAGATGCATTTTTTTTTTTTTTTTGAATTGGTGGATGTGAAATTTGTGGGCATATTTAATAAGTACTGAACATTTTGTGGAATTAAAAGACACTTTTGTTACATCGTCTTTTAGACGGAATTTGGTTTATGTTTCTTATTTGGACAAATTCGGTTATTATTGTTCAATTGGAAACAATAAGGTTGTGTTGTCTTTTAATTCTAATGTGGTTGGTTTTGGTACTTTTATAGAAAATGATAATTATGCTCATCACTATAATTTCCTATAATGAAACCCTGAATGTGGAATCAAAAGGTACTAAGCGAAAAATTAATGAATCGAGTATGCTATGACCGTTTGGGTCATTTTCCGAGAAATAGAGTTGAAAGACTCATAAAGGATGAAATTCTAAATTCTATTAATTTCTCGGGTTTTGATGTTTGTGTCAATAGCATTAAAGGCAAACAAACCAAAGTAACGAGGATAGGTGCTTATCGAACTACGGATGTCTTAGAGTTGATACATACAAATATTTGTGGGCCTTTTCCTATATCTTTGTGGAATGGTCAACAATAATTTGTATCATTCATAGACGATTATTCTTGATAAGTTTATCTATACCTCATAAGGGAAAAGTTTGAGGCATTAGACATGTTCACAGCATCAAGGCTGAAGTTGAAAATCAACTCAGCAAACGCATTAAGATCGTCATTTCTGACCGTGGAGGTGAATATTACGCCAGAAATGATGGATCTGGTGAACAACGTCTGGGCCCATTTGTTGACTTCCTTAAGGAGTGAAGAATAGTTCCTCAATATACTATGCTAGGTTCGCCTAGCATGAATGGTGTTGCTGAGGGACGAAATCGCACATTAAAGGATATGGTTCAAAGTATGATT